GTTTCGAACTCCTGAGCTCAAACAATCCGCCCGCCTCGGCCTCCCAGAGAGCTAGGATTACAGGCGTGAGCCACCGCGCCCGGCCAACACATTAAATTTTTTATACAACTCTTCAACTATAATCATACATTACTTAATGGTGGGGATACAGTCAGAGAATGCATCCTTAGGTGATTTTTATCATTGTCTGAACATCATAGAGCCTATTTACACAAATCTAGATAGTGTAGCCTACTACACATCTAGGCTATATTGTATAGCCTATTGCTCCTAGGCTACAAACCTGTACAGTGTGTTGGCTGTACTGAATACTGTAGGCAATAGTAACACAATGGTAAGTACTCATTCATTTAAACATACCTAAACATAGAAAAGGTGCAGTAAAAATACAGTATTATAATGTTATGGGACCACCATCATATATGTGATCCATCTTTGATGAAAACATTATTATGCAGCACATGACTATATATCAAAACCATCTCAAAGACTAAGGTAAAAATTGTGTTTTCTCTTTATAGTGATGGATCAACAATAATCACTTTAACTATGAAAGAGCTAAGCAGAGAAGGAAAAATGAAATAAGAGGAAAACTGAGAAAATAGGAAAATTGAAAAAAAAGAAAGGGCCTTAAACAATTCCATGTGTGTTTTTAAGGGACACTGTCTGCTACATATTTGGCAGGGTATATACAAGCTTCAGCTTTCACTAGAATAGGAAGCTTCATCAGATACTTACTAGTTCAAGCATTACTAAACAAATATGACATTTTTGCACAGTAGCAATGCTTATGTCCTAATTATTAATACAAATCTTATCAACCATGTGTAAATTATCTTTTCTGCTTTTAGAATTACTTCAAATAGACTTAGCGGTGCCCTGACAAGGCTAAGAATAAGCAAGGAAAAAGATCGGAAAAGAAGAAAAAGTAAAAAGAAGAATATTTATGTGCATTTAAATAGGATTTTTACTTGTGTTTATTGCTATAACAATGATCTAAAACTATTTCTCATAGTTTTCATTAAAACAACAGACATGAAGCTTTTCTTTCTTTTTAAATTAGAAATTAAGTTAATAAAAGTTTAAATTTAGGAAATTTAAGTTAATAGAAGTTACTGTGTGTTTCATATATTTTTATATAAAAAGATAGCCATCAGGCTTGAAATAACAAAAAAAATGATTGCTTTGACCTTATTTGTGAGTTGCTCATTCATTTTCACATGAGCATATTAGCTGAAAATCAGCAATTGGCTTCCAACCATGAATATATTCTCTCTGTTACAGCCCGAAACATTCAGCAGCACCCAGTGGACAAAGACGCCCAAGGCTTCTGATTGAGGAATGCCCTCTAATTGATGAGACACAAACGAATGACATAGCAAAAGAACTGATAGAAAAGGTACTAAATGTATGCATTTTTTCGTGGGATATTGAGAAACATTTGGTATTTCCTCATCAATTTCCTTTTTTACTGTAAAAAGAACAGGGAAATGATAGGTGACTTTTTCTGCCAGAATTTAAAACACATTGAAGCACTGGTACCAAATTATTCAAGGTTAAAAATAGAAATACAGGCCAATGGAACAGAATGGAGATGCCCAGAAGTAAATTTAAACATATCTATGAGGTTTAATAACAAACCTGATGAAATAAAATGAAGGAACAATCATTACTTAATGAATGCTGTTGGGAAAGTGGGTAATTGTTCTGTAGAAAATAGATTCCACACATTTCAGATGAGATAAAGAGGTAATTTTTTTAAAGTATAAAAAATCCAAATGAAAATGGAAGAGTAAACATATTCAATTATGAATAGATTGAGGAGTTTGAGTATATAAATATAACAAGTATTAGGAAAACTGAGTTTAAAAAAACATCAAGGGGAAATCTGCAACAGATTCATTTTCAGAATATACAGTGTAGAAGAGGACTACAAATACATGAAAGCGATGTCCAGTCTTAAATGGACAGAGTCCACGGACAGCAAACACAAAAGGAAATATAAATAATTATCAACAGGAGACAGTTGGCAACAGCTTTAACCTAATAAATGGTTTTTGGGTTTTTTTTGCTGAAGAGGCTACATAATGTAAATAAAAACTGAGAATTAATACTTCACCATAATTAAACTGAGAAATTAAATCAAAATAATTAAATCCAGTATTGGCAAAACTTTAAGAGAAGTTAACATTCATATTGTAACTGGCATTGAAACAAATTAGTACAGTGTTCCTGAATATCTATTTGGTAAGAAGAATCGTAAATCCAGTTTCATTTTATGACCTAGTAATCTCCTCTTTAGGAATCTATTCCAAGAAAATAATTGAAAGGGGAGGGAAGAGGGGGAGAGAAAGGGCAAAAAAAAAAAGAAAGAAAGAATATAAATGTATTTATTA